ATGAAATTCTTAATGGAGTACCCTCATTTCTTATTGAATTCCTAAAAAAATATTTATAATGAATTTTAATAATTTTTAAGGATTTTTTTAAGCTTTATTCTGACCGATTCACCTGATTCCCTATCCGGATCGTCGATTCGCCGATCCGGATAGGTTTTTTGGAAGCCCTATCCGAGTCACCGATCCGTTTTTTAAACCATTGGCTCAATCTAAACTATTTTTAAAGCTTCAAATTTTATAATTAAAGATAAAAATATATTTTTAAGCTATCACAAAAATTTTCAGTATTGAAACTACATTTGCCAATACTATTTGAAGGTGAGCTTTACTTTGATTGTTTAGAGTTTTGATTCTATGGAGACGTCCAGTAAGTAAATTTACATCAATATAAATCCCATAATGATGAGGATATATTATTATAAGAAAAAGTAGTTAGGGCATCAAAGCTTGCACATATTTTTTTTTAGGACCGACTATAAGCCGAGTCAACCCTGTTTCCCATACAATTGGCCCGAGCGTTGCACGGCTCGAGACTGGTTTGGCCCAAACCTGAGCTAAAAAGCCCGAGACTGGTTTGGCCCAAACCTGGGTTAAAAAAGCTCTCGTCTAGGCCTAGTTTAGCCCTATTAGGGTCAGGCCGGGCCAAGCTAAGCCAAATACAATCAAACAAAAAACAATAGACCAAAAAAAAAAGAGACAAAAAGAGTTATGCTGAGCCAAACTGGGCATCCCTACCATAGCCTCCCAAGACTAGCCTGACTGTCGGTTTGTGATGAACTAGCTCTCCAACCACATTTTATGGCTCGTAACCCAATTTTTTAGGGCCAGGCCGGTCCATTGCTAGCCCTAGTTAAAGCTCGGAATTAGCATCCTAATTGAAAGAAAAAAAAAATGAACAGAACGACCTTTATGGCGTGTTTGATACCAAGAACTTGGCTCCTACTCAAGTATAATTGAAAGAAAAGAAAATGAATAGGACCACCTTCAGTGCGTATTTTGATAACAAGAACATGTATCCTAGAAGTTGGAAGTTACATCTTACTG